ACGGAGACGGCGAGGAGGCTGGACCACAAGGTCACTGACTAATCTGCAGATGATCAAAGCGGGCAAAGAAAAACAGCAAAGACGGGATTTCTCCCAGTCTCTGCAGCCAGTCCGTGTGAGAACCGGCTCACACAGGAGAGGAGGAGGAGGATGAAGAGGAGTAGGAAGAGCAGGGACGATCATTCCCTTAGCTTTCAACAAAGCAAGGCAGCACCAGAGACAGTGAGATCCCACAGCAGAGTCCCCCGCCCCCAGCCCAAGGTCCCCCCGCCATCCCCGGGGCTAATTGCCTTCCTGTGGGTTGGCTGGGTTAGGCTCCCATGTGCCCGGCAGACAAGGATTCCATGGCTCCTTTCCCGTGCCATTTTTTCTAATTTAGCCTCCTTTTTTTTTTTTCATTAGTGCCTGCTGGCTCCAGGGCTGCACCTGAGAACCTTCCAGAAGGCCAAATAGACAACACCTGCCTTAGGCTGGGCATCAGCTTCTGCTCGGGGTCTGCATACCCACATATGCGCTCCTCACGGGCTCCCACACCCCAGCCCGGGGTCCCTAGGATGTCTCCAACTGGCCATAGACTTAGGCCATTTCTTAGTCAAAGACCGAAGGGGCAGGACTTGTCTCTTGGAATAAAACTGAGCAGAGATGAAACACTGTGACCCCTGGGATGTGTGTCCTCACGAAACTGGCAGAATCACCTGCAAAGCTGACCTTCCAGCCTACGGACACAGAGCGCTCGACACCGAGGGCTGGCAGACACGCCGAGGGCTGGAGACGTGCCTCCATGGCACTGATGGACAGGAAGCTCTGTGCTAAAGGGACCATGATCGCAACCAAAAGACGCTTGCACGCTGGATCATCCCTCGCAGGAGCCTCCCAGGATGTCCCCCACCCACCACCCCCCGCAATGTGATGCAAGCTCAATGGAGAAGCAGGCACCCTTGCTCATGTCACGCCTACGCTTCTGTCCATCAGTGAGGAAACAGGCAAGAAGACAAGCCGCTGCTGCCCCTTCCTTCTCTGCCTGTGCTGGCTGTGCACGGGGTGTCCCCCAGAGGTGGGTAATGCAGAGGAAGGGGTCCAGCAGGCCCATCAGGGTCTGCACAAACTCACTCTCTGGAAAGGCTCTCCTGCCTCTCTGCCTTTGGTGCTGCAGGCCAACAGCTGGCACCCTGTAGGTGCAGACAGGGTCCTCCCTGCATCGCCTCGCTGTCCGGTGGAAGAACACAGCAGAGGCTTCTGGGGATGACCACAGGAACACAACCCTCTGTCCAGCAGGGCAGGGACCAGCCCAGCGCAGCCCACTGCCAATTTTAGTTGCATTGACACCCAGCCACATCCATGCATGCACACAGTACCTAGGACTGCTTTGGGGCAACAGAGCCCCCAGGCCCTGCAAGCCCCACCTGTTCACTCCCTGAGCCTCTAAGAAATCCTCTGCTGACCCCTGCTTCACTCTGAAGCTGGGAGACTGCACAGTGTTTTCTGATTGCTCATGCTGAGACATCAGTGAGATTTTAAGAGGACACAAAGTCGCATTTTAAGAGAGTTCAACTGGGTCGTTCTAGTTCATCTCATCATGCAAGATGAGGTTTCCAGGGGCCCCATCTCTTTTAGGGGAGAGGTTTCAATTCTGCAAGGACTCTTATTCCATAGCCTCAGATATAATCTGAGTAGGGGAAGCCAGGTTCCCAAGAACTCGAGCTTAATGAATTGGGAATATCAGAACTGTTCCTGTCTATGACCTTGCTTTTCTGCTGGGCCTGGGCAGGTGTCTCTGTCTCATACCCTGCCACACACACACACACACACACACAGGCCCCCATGCCCACGACTGGCATGCTAATCAAGGCTTCCGCAGTGGTGTTAAGCCCAGAACACAGCTTCTAAGGGTAAAGGGAATTGTGCTCTTCTCACTATATTTCCCTTACTCTGTCTACTTCTTCTGCATCGACACTGCTCGTGAGACCCACCACACAGCAATTCATGGCCTGGTCTCGTGTCTCACAATGAAAAGGAGCAAGCGTGATCGGGCTGCTCTTCAAATCCACAAACATGGGGTAAAACAAGCTCTTAAACCTCTGCATGCAGCCAGCACCCACAGGTACTTCGCAGGCAACCTTGCACTGTGTGTGTGTGTGTGTGTGTGCGCGCACACACAGCAAAGCTTGTACCTTCCACGCACTCCTGGATCTCCACCCTATATGCTGACCAAGGTTTCTCAGACTGGACAAGGGGCATGCCTACCTTGCCCTGACAGCAGGTCTGGTCTGCCCTTGCTTCCCTAGTTAAATACTCAAGTAGAGACTGCCCCACTGGAAAGCCAAGGTCAAATGCAGTCCAACAAAACCAAAGGTACTTCCAAGTTCTCCAGTGGCTCTCAAGCACCCTGTACGATGGAATAAGGCAATGTGGGCTGGGCATGGATGCTGCAAGTGAGCTCTCAAAACTAAAGCTTGGACTGGGGTGAGATTTCATGCGACAAGCTCAGGGCTGTGTGGGAACCTACCCACTCTAGAGGGCCAAGGAAGGGCTTGGTGTTTCCCTCGGGATCATCTGTGACTTGTCTCCAGCTGCCCAGTGTGCTGCCCTCTGTGGCAAGGTCATTTGAACATTCATGCACAAACTCTCAACAGTGGCATATGCTACAGGGCTCTCCCTACTCAGCTGGCTGGGGCAGCCTCTCCCTACCTAGCTGGGTGAAACCCAGTGGATTGAAGTTTTGTTCGTAGATATGAACTCTCGGAAAGGATGAATACGACCAGCCTACCTGGGTACTGTCAGCATAGGACCAGTAAGGAACTAAGAAGAGGATTGTGGGGGACCAGATATTGGGGTAGGGGAATAAGAACTGGACAGGGTCAGGCTCATCCTGCAGGCAAGAGGGCGGTGCCCCTCACCCCAAGCAAATGCAAAAGCCAGAGAAGTCTCTCGCTGTCTTTCCAAACTGCAGCATGAGGATATAGAAGAAATGAGGCCAAACGAAACGCAGAACCCAAGCTCTCTGCAAATAGGCAGTTCATGGCCAGAGTCGGCCTTGGCCTCTGACCATTGGTGAAAAGTAGAAGAGACTCCTAGACCCTCTGCTGGGGAGGTAACTAGGAAGCTTCTAGCCAGGCTGGCTAGAAGGGCCTCCAACCCTTCTGTGTTCAGGGTCTGTGTTCCAGAGACGAAGAGACTGACCAAGCCAAGGCTTCTGTCAGGGGAGTGTTGAGCTGCTTGCTATCTAGGGAGGGGGTGAGAAGGGCCCATGCAGCTCAGGGGGCAAAGGCTGGCAAGACGGAGCAGGCTCCCTGATGTTGCAAAAGGACCAGCATTGGGCAAGCCTCCTCAAGGCAGGCAGCCTTCCTCCAGCACTGATAGGAAGATGGGAAAATTAATAGGGGTAATATGAGCTCATTTCAATAATAATGAGCTTATGAGCATGCCAGGTTTTGATCTTTTCTGATGCATGGATTCCTGGCAGGAACTATGGTCCTAAGTAGGTAGTTGAAAGGACTGAAAATAGATTTTAAAAAAAATCCCCAAACAGCAATAAAAAGAAACCACCCCAATCACAAACTTAAAACAACAATGAAAGAAGAAAGACGAAAATGTTACTCCCCAGAAGAAAGGCGGCCGGGGAAGGGGGGGCAGTTGGACTGACATAAAACCCTTTTCTTCTTTTAAATATTGTTTTTAACAGCTTCAAAAGTAATGAATTGTCTGTGGCTAAAAATAGATCTGGGGGTCCTGGTTAATGGGGCCCTGTGAATCATTCCATGCGAAGAACTGTCAATATTTTTTTTGAGCTGTCAGAAATCCATTTAGTGATTTTTGACAATTCAAAAAATATTTCCGACTGCTTGATCCAGTTCTTAGTGAATTAGGGAAGGAGAGAGGAAGAGAAATATATCAATTTAAATTATGAACCCAGACTCCAGCGTTCTGAATCCTGTTCTGGGCTGGAAGGAGCATCAGAGTCCACTGAGGTTCAAAGAGCCTCCCTCCCATTTCCCTTACTTCCTCCCAAACACCGAAATCCATTCAGAAATTAAACATGGGAAGGTGCTTTGGCTGTATGTTCCCGGTGGGGGTATCTGGAGCTGCTTTCTGAGGAAGGGATCCACTGGGCCCCTTAGAGGAGAAAAGCTGTCAGAGATGAACCTGTGGACATCGGTCTCCCCTGTCCATCGCGACATTCATTTGATCCAGTTTTCAGATCCAAAGTGATAACGACACTTTAGGATCTGGAATCACTCTGGATCCACGAGTGCCGCTTTGCTACAAGATCAGACAGGCACAAATCCGAGACACACAGGGTCACCACACCACTCACACACTTCTGCTTCCAACGCCAGACAGGTGAACAGGCAGATGCACATAAGGCAACAGCTGAAGGTCAAAGTCACAGTAACTGCCATTTGGTTTGCTTAAAGATGAATAACATACACCCCGGAACCATCTCCCTGTTGGGAAGAGGCCTACTTTTATTTTTTCCCGATACTGTGGTTAATGTGATATGATTTTAGTATCCTCCAGGTCAATAACAGAAACACTTAGACAAGCAGGTTTGGCTTAGCAAAGCAGCAAAGAGTCCTCTTTCAGTGTAAGTTGCAAATACTGAGAAGTCTGCGAGTTACCACATTCTCTTAGCCTTCTTGTGTTTTAAGTGGCTCCTCCCACCCGCCCACCCGCCCACCTACCACCTCTAGTTTTGGCTGAAAAACAGGAGTGAGTCCTCCACGCACGGAGATCCTCCACCCCATTTTCCATGCTTTCCGGACAGGCCTCTGAGAGCATTATGATGTAAATTGGAATACACGCGTGTGAGTTCTACAACGTCTAAATGCAACGGACTTTTCCGATTGTCTACGCTGCATGGACAGCATTGGGGCATCTATCCTCTGGCGTTCCGTGCTGAATCTGCTCACGGGTAACTCGACCCCCTTCTGTTTAAAAATGCACAACGCAGCCCTGATGTTTCGGGAAATGAACCGAAGGGAGAGGATTCTAAAACTTACCACACAAGTCTGGCCTCTTGATACATCCAGAACTGGCTGTGCTACTCGCGAGTCCGTTAAAGGCAGCTAAGCCATCGGAGCTGTAAGCCCTGAGCACCGACAGCATGTTCATGGGCTTCTCCAGGCCCGGGGGCCCCCGCTCCGGCTTCGGCAGGCCCGCCGAGGGGTCCTGGGCGGCAAGAAGACCGGGGCCGTGCCACTGTTTCTCCGACGCTTGGGATAATGGTGAGCCGAGGCCCTGCACCTGCACGGGCTGGGGGGCGCCCGCGGGCAGCAGGCTGTCCCCGCCGTCGCCGCCGCCCCCGTCCTTGGCGAGCGCAGACAGCGGCTTGCTCATCATTTCGGGTTCCGTTTCGACATCCTCTTCCTCGTTGTTCTCTCCCCGCGAGGAGTCCATGTCCTCCGAGGAGGCGATGTCGGAGAGGTCGTCAGGGGCGTTCTTGCCGGCCGCCTCGGGGATCAGGATGGGGGCGTCGTCTTCCGGGGGCGCCTTCCCCTCCAGCTCCTTGTTGGGGCAGGACCCAGAGGCCCCCGAGCCCAGCACACCGGGGTAAACACCGAACTGCTTGTAGAAGTCTGACGGAAAGTTACAAAAGGCAGGGTCCCCGCCGTGGCTGGGCCACGCGCCGCCCTTTTGGTCCCCCAGAGTCTCTTTGGCCTGTCCTTGGGCCGTCTTCTCGGAAGCAGAGTCCAGAGCGCTCATCACGCCCGCCAGGGCCATGTCCTTGCTTGATTGTACAGCCGGCAGCAGGGCCACCTTGCTCGCCTCGCGCCCTTGCTCTTGGCAGTGCACCGTCACCCCTGCGCCGGCGTCCTTGCGTTTGGCTTTGCCCAGGTGGTTGGCCTGCAGGTGCAGGGCCATGAGCTCCATGGAGGACGTGGTGAAAGCACAGAACAGGCAGCCGTGCCACGCCATGCTGTCCTGCATGGTCACCGAGGAGCCCGGGAGGGGGCCGGCGTCCGGCCGCACGGACAGGTCCAGAGGCTCGTACTGCGACTTCTCGGGTCTCCTCTGGGAGGACTTCCCGCCGCCCTTCTCCTCGCCGCCGTCGGCTCCCTGGACTTTCAGGGGAGGAGCGTCAGACAAGGCTTTGTCCTTCGTGTCCTTCTTCTTCCAGGAGCTGAGGACAAAGCTGTCCATGAAAGCCTGCAAGGACCCTTGGAAATTCACACCGTTGCCCACGATGCTTTGGTAAGCCCTCCCGATCTCGGAGAAGTGGGCGCTTTTGGGCGGCAGGTCGGTGCCCTTCAGCGCCTCGGAAGCAGCCTCGGGTGCCATGCCCGCGGGCTGGCCCGCGTGATCTCCGGACGAGAGCACCCCGGAGGCCCACTGCTGAGAGGCGGGGCCGCCCCGGAAGTCGATGCCTGGGAGCCCCTTGAAGGCGCCCCGCAGGATGTCGGGCCGGATGAACAGGGCCGCCTTGCCAGGCGTGTCGTCCTTGTGGTCGTGGCTCGGGGGCTGGCCGGACAGCGGCCCGGCCCCGTTCTGCCGCTCCCGGTGGTGTCGCTCTAAGTGGTATTTTAAGGACGCTGACTGGGTGCCGGCGTAGTCACAGTGGGGACACTTGTAGGGTTTCTCACCTGCGAGATTTTGGTATAAGAAAAGAAAAAAAGTGTTTAGCTCACTTTGGTGTGCCCAACAAGGCTTGAAGGACCAACATTTTTCTTGGAAACAAAGCAACTCCAACTAATAATTAGTTAGAACACAACTGTTTTTTAATAGGCGAATAATTCGTACTCTTAAGCTTTTTTAATGATTTTGTACCATTTGGGAGTATTCAGGAATGACATACTATCTACACACAATTAGCTATCTTTTTCTTTATCTAACATGTGAAAACGGCTGTAGATTTAAAAGCTATGATTATGAAAATTAAGCATAATAATTTCAGCCACAGTGATCATTAAAAGTAGAAGTTTAAAAAGACAAAGTATGTAACAAATGGGTGGCTGCAATATTTTGTGTATACAATAGCTCTGAAATTTGTTTAAATTATACACATGGAAACCATTTTTAAACCTAAAAATTTTATGGCACTGTTACGCAAGACTGAAATGAATGATTTAAGTCTTGCTCTGCAGTAAATCATGGATATAATTAGCAAATGGCATACTGCACAAGTAATTTATCATTATTTGGAGGGCGGCATTCCAGACGGGCTCAGATATCTGCAGAGGCACTGCATTGTTGCTAAATAAAGAACTATAAATACCGATTCCATAAAATATTAATACCATTACAGTGCATTCTGATTGCAGCATGTAAAGACATATAGTTAAGATAAAAAGCAGTCAATAAAACTTAAAAGAAAATGAGTAATAAAAAGGCACAAAATATATTTAGTTTCGGTATTTGAAATTAACATTATCTACTAGTCTTTGTAGTGCCTTAAATTTGTACTAATGGCGAACCTCGTGCTCTGGTAGTAAAATGTGTAATTTACCTATAATAAGCGCTTTCTAGAGAATAAAAATAGCTTTAAAGAGTGTTTTAAAACATATAAGGTAATTTTCGCGAATTAAATATTTATTTAAATTCAACACCCAACTCCTATTGTTCTTTCCACGATGGAGAAGGTACCCCAACCGACAAGTTGCATCCGTCGGCATTGTGGGTTAGAGGAGGAGGAGGAGGAGGAGGCCGACAGACGCGGAGTGAAATGTATTCCAAGCATTTGCTAGCGATACCCTGGGTCTTTTCCTGGCTTTGCAATCAAAGAGTTCGCTGGAAGGAACGGAGTCTGTGGCAAGTGGTAGCTTGCTCACAATAGGACCCCATCAGTCAATATCCACAATTATTTCTCCCAGGAAGCCCAGCTACTCCCCACCCCCCACGCTACCCTCCAGCTTCCTCCTCTGCTCTATTGTAAAACAGACTGATCTAAAAAGCAGCAGCAAATCACAGGTGAACAGCAGTGTCTTCGGAAGACACTTCACCACCACGTCTAGTTCCCACTGCCGCCAAGAATCCCGATCCTCCCGGCACAGGGCGTTCGGAAGCCTGGACCCTGTAAACTAGAGGACCACCAGCCCAGGTTGTAAGCAGGAGACCCCAGGTCATGCCTGGGGCGTGTGCCCCAACCTTGCAGACACAATGTCTGCGTCATCAAGTCAGAGCAGGAGGCCACGGAGCTCATCGCGCGCTCAGCGGCCAGCCGCTGAGCCCGCCCCTGGACACTCCTTCAAAGATGGCCTTCCGGTCTGGATAGGCGGCCCAGCTGGGCATCTTCACCTCCAGCTAGCCCAGTGCGGGCACCTGCAACGAGGACTCTCCACCCTTGGAGGTGAGGAGTCCCAGGCACTGTCTCCCCACGCCTTGGGAACCACTGCAGCCACTGCTAGGTTACAACCCACTGCAGCCAGGGAGCTGTGGTTGGGATGCGTGGCCAGCGTCCCAGCTCACTCGGATTCTCTGAAATCCCAGTGGCTGCCACAGCAGAGCCATGCCCTGAAGCTTAGGAGGTGGGAGAAGCTTTTGACAGAAGAGCCTGCCTAGAAACTCAGGACCCTGACCCACATTTAGTGCAGCCCCTGGTTTGTGTGTGGGTGTCGGGGGAGGGGTGGCAAGTGAGAGCCAGCAGAAGAGCTGTGCCCACAGGTACCAGGGAGGCTCAGGTTGTGTTTCAGAAATGCACCTGGAAATGATTCAGTGCATCTGGCCAAGGTACTATAAAGCAGCAAGGGCTCTGGTTAGCAGGAGCTAACTCACAGGGAGAAGGCGGACAGAGGGTGGGCTGACCACCAGGAGCATTGAAGACACCAGCTCTGGGCCCTAACGCAGAGCAGTCCTGGCGTCCGGGGCGGGCGTTGGTATTTTGGTGAACCTCAGGCAGACAGTAGAAAGCCTGCACTCTGAACGCCCAACATGCACTTGCCTCCGGAGCTCTAAACAGCACTGAGACCGAGCCCCGCCTCCCTACAGTGTGTGAGTTGCGAGACCCAAAATGCAAACTGGATGTGGAGGTCTTTCACAAGGACCTGGGGGTGCTTTATGGTGCCTCCCTGGGAAGGTGTAACAGGCCATAATAGGGAAGAAAGTCTAGACCCCAGGAGGCATTGGAAACTCTGGATTGGGGGTTAGAAACACCCCATCCCACTCCGTGGTCCATTGCACACGGCATCCCGGTTTTACAATCTTCGCCTCCTCAACCTGCAAGGTGGGATGCTGGGGCAGGTATCCTCATAGGCCTCATCCCAACAGCTAAGGCAAGCCTCCCGGATGGGGGTAGAGAGACACATATGCACATCCATGTACATGCACACACCCAGACGCATGCAGATTCACGCACACACATTCCTTGTGGGATAAACCGATGGATGGACGAGAGCTCCGAGCTCCCAAGCATACTTCCTGGCACTGGGAACTGAGCAGAGAAGCAAAGAGATGGGGCTCCGCCCTCATGCATTTCAGAGGAGACCGAGATGCCTACTGGCACACATGGCCTTCACTCGCGCACACACACTCACAGCACGCAAGGGGACAGCATCTACGCTCTCAGCCCTCTGCTTCTGCACGTCCAACATAGGCTTTTGGCCTCCACTGCCACCAGGAAAGGCCCCTGGGGACTCCAGAGACCCTCCAGCCCTGAAACACGATGGTTGCTTACTGAATGCTCACGGATTGCATCGACTGCCTGTGGTGTGCACGGGCTCTGGAAAGCCCTCCAGCCACCCTATCTCCACCTTCTGCACTCACAGATGGAAGAGCCCATTGCAGACTAGTCTTCAACAAGGCTCCATATCCCCACACTCCCAGCTCCTAAAAGGCTCTGCTGAAGGGGTTGCCTCCTATCACCCCAGTCCCCGAGATCAGTGCGCCAGAAGAATGACCACAGGACAAACCTTTTGGGTTTGTGGTTTTTACTTTCAGGAAGTAACCTCAGAGGCACGCATCGTAGCACAGTGGAAGAAGCCACTTCTTAGCTTTCCTTCCTTGCTCATTGGACTGCAAGTTCAAGTCCTGACTGTGCCACTTCCAATCCAGCTTCCTGCTAATGTGCCTAGGAAGCAGCAGATGACAGCTCAAGGAGCTGAGTCCTTGACACTCACATGGGAAACCTGGATAGAGTTACTGCTTCTGGCTTCAGCTTTGCCCAGCTGAAGTACATGTGGGGGGGTGAACCAGCAGATGGAATCTCTCTGTCCTCTCTCTCTCCTCTCCCTCTGTCCTCTCTCTCTCTCTCTCCCTTCTCTCTCTCTCTCTCTCTCTCTCTTCTCTCCTCTCTCTCTCTTTCTCAAATAAATAAATCATCTTTTGAAAAAAGGCAACAGGCCAGCGCCGTGGCTCACTTGGTTAATCCTCCGCCTGCGGCGCCAGCATCCCATATGGGCGCCAGGTTCTGTCCTGGTTGCTCCTCCTCCAGTTCAGCTCTCTGCTGTGGCCCGGGAAGGCAGTGGAGGATGGCCCAGGTGCTTGGGCCCTGTACCCACATGGGAGACCAGGAGGAAGCACCTGGCTCCTGGCTTCTGATCAGCGCAGTTCCAGCCATGGCGGCCATTTGGGGGGGTGAACAAATGGAAGGAAGACCTTTCTCTCTCTCTCTCTCTCTCTCTCTCTTTCACTGTCTATAACTCTGTCAAAAAAAAAAAAAAAAGGTGACAGCCTTCGTTTTGAGTTCCTTTTCACCCCTCTGGGATTGGAGTAACCGCCACTGCCCCTCCGTCCTGACACTGCTCCATCCCTTTCTGGGGTCTCCTCACCAGTGCGGGGCACCGGCAATGCCCGGATGGTGAAGCCGGCTTCTGCCGGGGGCAGGCAAGTGTCTGGGCTGAGCTCGCCCCCCTGCGAATCCTGAGCCTCCCACTGCTGACTTTTCCACTGGAAGCAAACAGCTGCTTCCCACTCACTGTTTCCCCGGAGGGGACATTTCAGAGTGCTAGGGAGGCAAACTTCTCACAACATTGGCCCGACTGTCGGGGTAACCGCTGAGAGGAAGGACTCCATCAGCAAAAGGAACAGGCTCTGAGGGCCTCTGCCCCAGGCTGCCCCTCCACTGGCCCGGCGCACACAGCTGCTGACTCCACCTGCACCGCGGGAGGCAGAAGCGGGGGTTTCCTGGTCAAAGCCACCACGTCTGGACACAAGCTTCAACCCAAGCACTCTGGGCTTCCTGGCAAACCCAACCTCAGGACATGGCCAGGCTTCTGCCACGGAGCCAGGCAGTGGGTCTGCCCAGCCCCCACCCAAACAAGGCCTGATCTGCCCGGGGACTTGGACACAGGCAACCCAGCACCTGTCAGCAGCTCTGTCTAGTTGAGTGATTGGCCATGCAGGCCACAGATAAGTCCAAGTCCACCAGGGAAATCCTCAGACAGCCCCAAGCTTTCGAGGGGGTCGTGGGACCTTGGGGTGACCCATGTTGGTCCAGATGCATTGACTTCCTGCCTGCCTGTTGTGGGGCCACACACACTCGTGGCTTCAAAGCCAGGCATACCACAAGTATGCAAATGAGCAGGGTCACAGATAGATGCCTCACTTGGAGCACAGCTGTCATGCAACTCTAAATAAGCAGCAGCCCTAAGAACTCTGACTTTCTAAGGAAAAGTCTCACATCCGAATCTCCACATTCGAATATCGGTGCCTACTTCATACCTGCTTGAGACACCGAGAGGGCTCCTGTACCCTGTGTCGCTGGGTTTAAAATGCTTATCTGGGACAAGGAAGTGCAGCATTAGACCTGTCACCCACAACAGGAAGCAGGTGTAACACACTGGCGCCCACGGATGGGGAACCTCTCACAATGTCTTAAAGAAATAAAATGTGGGCCCAAGTCACGCATTTTCAGTTTTACTAGAAAAGCCATCACAATAAAAAAAAACATCACCAGTTCATCGCCCCAAAGATGAATGGGATTGTTGGAGCCGTCTTATGTTAGGCCAGCTTTCCACCGGCATGTGGTGTAAGATGGATACTTGGCTCTGGCATCTCATTGACAACTCTCCCAAGTCATCCTCTCGTGAATTTTTAGCAATATATGACCAGGTGGCTTAATGAGTTCACTGCACCTATTTTTACCCAGTCAGGTCTTTGTTACTCTGAGCCGCTGCTTTGCACTTGCCGGGCCTCTGTCCCGGGGAGTTCTTTTCAAGCAATCCGGAGCAAGTCTCCAAGAGCCACTATCCAGCAATCACAGGTGGATCCTCACTGCCATCTTTGGAAACCCCTGGATCAAGCATTTTAAGAACTGATTCACGCTTCTGGCATTTAAATTTTTTTTTTTTTTTTGGTTGCTAAATCTCCAGAAACATTTTGGCTTTTAAGTCAAGTGACTCTGTTCCCATATTCGCATCCTCGATTTGATATTTATTTAGTCTTTCCACATGTCTTTACTTAGTTAATACCAGGAGAGATAAATACGGTGGTGCCTTCACAGCGAAGCTTCAGTACATTAATATAAATTGTACACTAATTCCCCCAAAGCATATATATGTTGTAAACCTGAAGACTTTTCACACAGCTGCTTATTGCTAAACAGTGCCTTGTCCAGAAGGGGACAATCTGTGTCTCTAATTGCTGTCACTGAAGCCGAGATTCATTATGTGACTTTCCCATTAAAATGTGAGCATTAATTTGTATAATGAAATATCACCCACTGCAGTGTTCATTAGCCATGCCCTACTGTATACGGCACATTGTTAGCTACCTAGAAACTGTAGTTAATTTCACTAATGGATATTTCCCTACTTAGTGTTTGGTAGGAAATTTATACTGTAACATTACCTCTTAAACTTTTAAGGAAATTTAAATTCAATCAATTATTTTCAACAAAAAGTTTGGGATGTCATTAAGGCAGAAGAGTAAGGGTGGGCGACTGTGCAGGCATAAGATGGGCTTTTAGTTCCTCTTACAAAAAGGAAAAACTATAGAATTTTAATTCAAAACAAAAAGAAAAAAGTCATCTCTCGGAGCTCCTTTGTGTGTTCTTCCTCGTCTCCCAGGGGGCCGTCTCCCCACCAAAGACAACGCCACGCGCTCTCTTTTCGGGAGGACTCCCTTCTTAAGCAACTCATCTCTACAGATGTCGCCCGTGCTTTTGTTATTATTATTTATTCCCTAGGCTTAAATGGCCTGGCTATGCCAGGTAGACGCCGCCCAGCCTAAGGCAGCTGAGTTAGCCAGCTCCATCTTGCACCTGTGCCCTGTTCACACCCCACTGCTCCCCGGGAAGCACTTGGAGGAGGAATGGCCTTTGCCAAAACAGTGGGGGAAAGTTGGTCACCCCAGGGGCCACAGTGGCCCTCCCCCCCTCCCCGCTTCTCCACTTCCCTTCCTCTCAGTGAGGTGCCTGGGGTCGGCGCGGGCCTGGGATCAAGTCAGTCTGAGGGAGGGAGTGAGCAGGAGCCGGAATGCACAGTACTTCCCTTTCCAGCCACTTGGAAGCTGCGACAAGCTGACTTGTCACCGCAAGTCACCTCCTTCCTGCCGCCCAAGGAACGCTGCATGGATGCCCCCAGAGAAGCCAGAGATGTGCTCCGGGAGGTACGGATGTCCTGACAGAGCTGTGGGTCACAGCATGGGATTCTAAAGCAGTGGTGTTGGACCCCAACCCGCAACCCAACCCCGGGCATCGCGGCGTGGGCCACTTCTCTCTGGGATGTTGCCTTCTCGGTAGTGGGGCTGGGCCCGGGCAGGGAGCTGCTGCAGGCATTAAGGAGTGAATTACCATGCAGGTGGGAGCTACGGTCTCTAGGATTGCTGCTGCTATCCTATCCCTGCTGGCTAAATCCTGCTGTGTAGACCCAGCCTTGGTCCTAAAAGCAAAGGAACCCCCCAGGCCACCTCCCCGACCCCTGCTGGGTGTGCTGCGGGGACCAGGTGTCACGTCCCCAGTGCCCGGTGGCCCTGCAGTTAGGGAAGCCTAGTGTCCGGCGACCAGGTGCAGGCCAGGGCATAGGAGGGCACCTCCCCGTGACCCTGGAGGGACACGCGGGCAGCACCTGGGAGAGCAGGCAGGGTCCATCCCGACCTCAGCTGAGACCCCCCACTCAGAAAACTACTCCTGACTTCCTTGGGCGGGCTTGCTCTCACAAAGAGCTTCCCCACTCAGGGTGGACTGGTTTCAGCAGCGCATCAAACCCAGACTCACAGAGCACTCACAGAACTGGAGAGGGGCACGGAAAACCGAGCAGAACCATCTGCCATTAGTCCCTGAACTTTGGGGCCTCTGAGTTTTCACGAGTGAAATGGCTTCTTAGATTTTCCCAGACTGGTCATTCCTCACCCAGTCACCCTTCCTGGGAAACCCCCACACTCAACGGGACACCTGGAATCCCACGCCCCAGTACAGGTGTTCCAAGCTGCAGGGGCCTTTGGTGGCAAAAGGCACGCCCCCTCCTCCAGCTGGTCCGGGGTTGACTCCCTTCCAGCCTGGCCCCTGCACATGGAACACATACCTCCGACCCTCCAGGGTCTCACAGGCACCCAGCTGCCCAAGGCGGGGCTGGGGGAGGGGCATGTGTATGGGCAGCCTGTGGTGGAATGACTGGGGAGCACCCCTGCCTCCGAGGGTTTGCTGCTGCAGCTCTGGGATGAATCATCACAGGTGTGGGCGGGGCCCCGAGGTGCCTGGGTATCTGGTGAGAGATGGTTCTGGGGCTGTCTTCCTGGGTGTTTCTGGATGAGATTCTGGGCAGAGTAAACTGCCCGCCGCTCCGTGCTGTGACACTCATCTTCTGCGATTGTGCGCACACTCCATCGGCTCTCTCAACTACCAGGTCTTCAGTCCAGGACCCGTGCCATCGACTCTCCTGGGTCTCCAGCCCGCTGACGGCAGATCCTGGGGCCTTAGCAGTCACAGTCACATAGGCCAGTTTCTCACAAATCTCTTTACACATGAATACACGCATAGTCATACACGCACAGTCATGTGACCCTTAACAGGGGTACGATTTAAGACCTGGATGGGTTCGGTCAAACCTCATGACTGAGCCAGGAGACCTGTGAGCACACGTGATGTACGAGGCTGCTGCTGGCTGTTTTGCAGAATCACCTTCTAGGAAGCAGCGCTGAGCCCAGCAGCTAAGGCACTCACGTCCATGTTGGGATACCCGGGCTTGATTCCTGGCTCTGATCCAAATTCCAGCTTCTGGGAAGCCTCAGGTGTAGCACGAGTGGTTGGGTTCCTGCCACCCATGTGGGAGCTCTGGACTGACTTCCAAGTTCTCAGCCCAGCCTTGGCCATTGCAGGCATTTGGGGGAATGAACCAGCTGATAGGAGATCTCCCTGTCTCTCTCTCTCTCTCTCTCCTCTCAAATAAATTTTTAAAGAATTAAAGAATATGAAGTTCTGAGATGATAAAGTATAGTATAGTAAACGCATCACCCCACAACATAGCTGTTTGTTATGGTTACCAAGCACCATGCACTCTGCATCTGCACTTCGGTAGAGCCAGCAGCTCAACAGGTTTTGTTCAGCAGCATCAGCACGCACAGGTGAGCCCTGCGTTCTGCCGCACACTCAGAGGCTAAGACATCACCTGCCATAGGAATTTCTCAGCTCTGTTCTGATCTTATGGGCCCACAATCCTAAAGGTTGCCATGTTTTTTTTTTTTTTTTTTCTGAAATGTTGTTATGTGATGCATGCCTGTGGATAAAGGATACTTCACAAAAAGTTCGTGAACACTGGAATCCAAAGATAAATTTCATTTGGTGCACATTTTTGTTTTAAAATCTGAGCATCATTGTTTCATAATGGGCATCATCTATGAACTTGTTGAAAACTTCTGTGATACATGGATTTTTAATCTGTTGCACCAAAATGAACATGGTTGGCTTCTGTTTTTCTACAAAGGTTCTGAAATATCCTCGAGTGTGTGTGTGTGTGTGTGTGTGTGTGTGTCCTCTTGGCTCTGTTTCTCAACAGAACCCCAACTGGTACAATCCCCTTTCCCCAGCCTGCCCTGACGGTTCTGAATTCAGTTAGGGCGCTGTGTGCGAACAGAGAAAGGACACATGTGCAGTTAGCCCAGGGTGTCCAGGAGGCAAGACCGTCAGCCTCCCCTGTCAGGCAGCTCTCAGTGTCTGCCCTGCCAGGAGCCAGCACGGGGCAGCCTCCAGGGTCCACCTGTCACTGGGCACCCAGGGGTCCTGCAGGCGCCTCCTCTCAGTCCCCGCAGTGGATCTGGCTGAAGCCAGGCAGTGGGGAGAGACCACAGCAATGTCCCTGCTCCCTGCAGACTCCGCCCAGCCCCCGGGTGTCCCAAGCACCTGCTCTCTAATAAACAAGGGCCGAATTTGAGTGGATGCAGGGGAGAAAAGAAAGGAAAACAAACGGTTCTGATCAGGTGATGTTGGGCGATCAAGACTTCTGATCAAGATGGAGTGGGATGGAGAAATACGGAGAATGGACCATGTCATAGAACAACCAATTAAAACGGATTTATTGCCGTGGATTTTTAAATGGGCTCATCTGGGTCCCTTGCAGAAAAACTTCACGAGACGGCGTTTTGGTGGACATGTATTTTTCTTCCAGGCTGCTGTCCTCTGGCCATGTCATTCGGAAACAGAAAACCTCGAGGACGAGGGGGCAACCAGGTAGGGACCTCTCAGTGCCTTGGGGCCACACGAAATCATTTATTAACAAATAACCCATTTTGATTTTTAATTGCTCCTGTAATCTCCACTTTTACACTGTCATAATGGATGTTTACTTCGGTGATTTATAACATGTAACACTTTCTGTTCTATTCAAATGCACAAGTGTAAGCATTTTCCAACTTCTTTGTTCTTAGATAAAAAGGAAATTGATCTTTATCTAGTTACCATTCTGCTTTTTTAAACACGGCAAATGCCGGTTCCGAGGGGGGAGGGGGGCGGGGGGCGGCGCGGTGTGATGTTTCCATGGCTTCTTTCATTTTCTTCGCTAGTCTGGGAAGTCTGGGAAGTTTCTGGAATGCCTCTGCCCATGGCCCTTGTGAGTCCCTCTCAGGGTCTCCAAAGACGACAGGCCGCAAACAGCGGCGTGTGGAGCCCAGGTCCCACAACACACCGTCTCCTTCAGGGTGAAAGCCGCCAGATGCAGTGTCCACCCAGAAAGTTCTGTGACCTTGGGGCAGGCTGGCAGAGGGGCATCCGCAGGGGCGGCGACGCTGCTTGTGGGAAAGCCCCTGCCCCTCTCTCGCTGACCCACACGGCCTGCAAGGCCGACCTCACCACCTTGAGCTGCAAACCCTCCTGGGGCTGGGTGCAGCACCACAAGGCCTTGCTGCTGCTCCCCCCGTGAGCAGCCCAGGCTCCACTCCGGGGCATGGGTCTAACCCGAGGAAGCCAGGTGTCTTTCACCCAGGGACTCACTCCACAGGTGAGCACATCCTAGGAGCCAGCTCTGATCTGATGCTAGGCAGCAGAGACACTGCAGGACACACAGACACAAGCCTTCATGCTTGTGGAGCTCCCGTGCCAGGGCGGGCACGAGACACAGCAGCAAGAGGCAAAGCCAAGGGGAAAGACAGAGCAGGGAAGAGAGGGCCCTTGGGCAGGTGCAGGTGGGGTCTCCGGGCTGCGCTGTCAGACGGGTGGGCAGGGAAGGCCTCACTGAGGAGGGGGCGCTGTTGCCACACTGCAGGTCTGGCAGAGGGGTACACTGCTCGGGGAGCTCCCTGGACCCCTGGGGAATTGGTAGCAGTGGGGGAGTTAGCACAGGCAGCCCTAGACTGCCGCCATGCTGTGGTTTCCCAGGGGTTTCCGTGGTCCCCGGGGTGGGGGGAGGGGCCGTTCCCTACTCCACTTGACCTCTTCCTATCACAGCACAGCACAGGGCCGACAGGGGGAGGGTCGCTCGCTCCAGCGCTGGTTCTGTCATTCAGCCTTTCAAATAAATTCACTGTGCCCCTGCTAGGTGTAAGGTGCTCGCGCAGGCCCCGGGGTCACGGAAATGACAGCAATTAAGAAGACGGACAACAGCGCCACCCTCACAAATCTTAGCTCTGCTTGGCGGGAGACAAACAATACATAGGGAACCGAATAATTGACCTGGACAAGAGCAGTTCAGAGAATTTCACGCTTAGGAAGAAAACAAGGTAGAAAGGAGGGCAGATCGTTGAGATGGGGGTGCAGGGAGGGGTTTCCCAGGATAGCTTCCCTTCGACCCGAGCCCCAGTGACCACCTGGAGGAAGAACATTCAGGCAGAGGGCACGGCAGGTGCATCTCCCCAGTTCCTGCAGGAGGGACAGGGGCTCTGCACTGGGCAGGGCAAGGGCTGTTTCCGAGGGATGATGAGGATGGAGAACGGTGCAGGGCAGGACTGGGAGGGAGGCGGGGTCAGATCAGAGCGGGTGTTCCTGGAAAGTGGTGGGACCCGTGCTTGGGTCTGAACCATTCCTGTTTGGCCTGGGATGACTCCAGAGCGGGGGGTGGGGGGGTAGGGGGGTGGCGGGGCAGTGAAGATGGCCAGCCACAGCCAGGCAGCTGGGCACACACAGCTACCTGTCCTCAACACCTCTCGCTGCTGGGGAGACTTGGGGAGGTTCCTGGTGAGGGGCTGCTGTCCCCAAGCCCACAATGCTCACCGGGCCCATGCACATTCCATAAGCCCGCCCAACCCCGCATAGTATCGATTCCCCGGGAAACACACGACAATTATTTTTGAAAATAGATGGCATATTTGTCTATTCTCTGAAGCAGCTCATACTCCAATAGATAAAGTGTCAGGAGAAAAATCAAAGAAAATGGAGGTGTCCATATCTCAGATAGATTTTTTTTGGTATTGGCAACGGGCAGACATCTCGCAGGAGAGCTGGAGAGGGTGGTGGCCACTGGGCGAAGCAGAGGGACAAAGACAAGTCCTCGTCATCAGGGGCCCGGCAGCCGTCTCCCCCTTTCTGGTTAAGGGCATCTCGATTTTTTTCTTGTGAGGAGAGCCGGGTAGTGGGGGGAGAGCCGCCCACCTCCACCGCACGTATCGTGGGGCAGGGCTGACATTCTGAGGTATGGGCTTATAACCCAGGCTGGGCCAAAAGCCATTGTGCCTGGATACTGGGGAGAGCTCTCCTGTCCTCCTAATCCTACAAGGGTTTGAGCTGGGCTCGTGTCACCGACACCCAAAGACTCCTGCTCCCCCTACAAGGCCACAAAGAGGCGCTTCTTCAGTGCCACAGAACATTCTGGAGCTGGAAACAAAGGCTCACAACCCCAGGCCTGGACCATGCGTGATGTCCGTCTGCCTGTCCAGACGTCCACTGCGAGAGGGGTGGTAAGTGACACAGCAGCAGGTCTGACCACGCGGCGGCACACAGACAGGCCCCCGGAGAACCTTCTAGCGCCCATGGTTGTGGGCCGGGAGCACGGCCACGCCCAGGCGGCCTCCTCCTTCTCCGAGCCGCGTCCCCCGGAAGCAGCCAGACCTCTCACCTGTGTGTATCCTCAGGTGGACCTTAAGGTGATGGGACGTCCGGAAGGTTTTCCCGCAGTACGGGCAGTCCTTCATGGCCGCGCCCAGGCTCCTGTCTCGCAGCAGTGCCGGCTGCTGGACGCCGGTGGGTCTCCCAGCCTCCTCGCCCATGTCTGCAGCGGAGGAGAAACGTTCACACATCACTTCAGCACACGTCAGGAGCTGTTCGCACCCAAACTGCTAGCACCACACAAAGTTAAGCATGTCAATACTACACCTGTCTGTTTCATTCTTGAGCTCTGACAGAATGCTGACAATTCATGTATTTTCTTGTTATTCTCTTAAATTATTTCATCTTTCCTATCATCGTCTTAAGCAGCATATGGTACCTTTATATTGAACTGAATTAAGCAAGAAAAGAAACAGCTGTGTCAGCAGCTGGTTGGATCTCTTCTTTTTTTGCTAAGTTCTTATTAAATATTTTTTTTCCAAAAAGTTTAAAAATGTTGGTGTTTGTTGAAGCTGACTAATTTACACTATGGGCTAGTTGCAGAATTCGCTATGGTATCGAAATCAGATTTGCCTCCTATCAAGCAACGAATGGAAAAAGACTGTTGTTCAGCTGACTCCCCAAGACACGCAGACATACAGCTATTTTGGGACAGGAAAGAAAATTATCCCAAACTGATCATCTCTTCCTTGTAGAGTCTTGTATCCATCGCTGGCTGGTGCAATCTCATGGAAGGGAGACGAAGAAGTATGGAAATGTGGTTCCACAATTAGCCCATGATAAACATACAGTGACAAATTCAAAGTCATGTGCAGAAACTCAGCTGCAAAACTCCCATAAACTCAGAGCACGGCACCTAAATCTCTGCACCGTGACTGGAGACCTTCCTCCGTAAAGTATCAATACAAATTTTCCTTCCTGCTGCTGTTTGTTATGTAACCCAAACCATTAGAAAATGGAATCAAATTTACATACCGCTGCCTTCTGCACAGAAACGATGGGACATAATAGTAAATAAAACTGGGAAAATATCTAGTGGTTGGAGGATATGTTATTGCAATACTCGAGGTGTTGACATCACAGTGCCGGAGAGGCGGCATCGGGGGAGCAGGACAGGAGTCGGGAGTCTGTGTGCATCTCAGAGGAGGGAGGTGAGAGCTTGCTCGAGACTCACTTTCTCTTCCCGAGTTGCCACCTCCCCATGGAGCTGGAGGCTGAGGGCCTGGCACAGAATCTAAGCTCCTGAGCCTAGCAGGGTCCTTGCCACAGCTTCCTGCCCACCCTCCAGCCTGTGTGTAAATCCCACCATGGGAACAAGGGAACCTTCTGGGATAATGAACAGATCTGTGAGTTCTACAAAGATCAGAATAAATACGATTTGTACCTTCCAAGCAAACAGAAATGCAAATTGCTTTTTAAAAAAAAAGATTTATTTATTTGAAAAGCAGAGTTATGGATAGGCAGAGGCGGAAAGAGAGAGAAGTCTTCCATCTGCTGGTTCACTCCCCAGCCACACGGCTGAAGCTGCGCTAATCAGAAACCAGGAGCCAGGAGCTTCTTCCAGGTCTCCCACACAGGTCTAGGGGCCCAAGGACTTGGGACATCTTCTACTGCTTTCCCAGGCCATAGCAGAGAGCTATGGATTGGAAGTGGAGCAACTGGGACTCGAACCAGCTCCCATATGGGATGCCAGCACTGCAGGACTGCAGACAGTGGCTTTACCCACTATGCAACAGCACCAGCCCCAATGCAAATTGCTTTCTTTCTGTAAAATTCACTGCTGGTGCTCTCTGCTAACAGCCGAAAGGGACAGATGGACAGACAAGGCCCCATGAGAGCACACACTCACTTCCCACTTGGGTACTTGCTCCAAGCAACAGTGGAGACTCTCTCTGGCTTGCAGAAGCTGCACTTGGAGTGTGAACAGATCACTGGCCTTGAAGAGTTCTGGGCAGGCTCACTTCCAGACTTATTCTCCTGGCCTCTTCTCACCATCACTGGGAGAGCTACCAGAAACTTCAACAAGGTGTGGGGGACACGGAACTCCAGCTAGCTCTCCAGGCAGGTGCCTCGCCTGGTGGTTAAGACATGGGGAAGGCCGGCACCGCAGCTCACTTGGCTAATCCTCTGCCTGCGGCACCGGCACCCCGGGTTCTAGTCCCAGTCAGGGCGCCAGATTCTGTCCTGGTTACTCCTCTTCCAGTCCAGCTCTCTACTGTGGCCTGGGAGTGCAGTGGAGGATGGCCCAAGTCCTTGGTCCCTGCACCCGCATGGGAGACCAGGAGGCAGCACCTGGCTCTTGGCTTTGGATTGGTGCAGCACGCCGGCCATGGCAGCCATTTGGGTGGTGAACCAATGGAAAAGGAAGACCTCTCTCTCTCTCTCTTTAACTCTGCCTGTCAAAGAAAAAAAGAAAGAAAGAAAGAAAGAAAGAAAGAAAGAAAGGAAGGAAGGAAGGAAGGAAGGAAGGAAGGAAGGAAGGAAGGAAGGAAGGAAGGAAGGAAGGAAGGAAGGAAGGAAGGAAGGAAGGAAGAGAGAGAAAGAGAGAAAGAGAGAGAGAGAGAAAAAAGACACGGTGAAGACGCCCACAGCCCATGTCAGAGAACTCGGATGCCACGCCCAGCTCCAGTTTCTGTTTCCAGCTTCCGGTCAATGCAGACCCCAGAAGGCAGTGGTAACAGCTCAAGTAGTTCAGCTCCTGCCACTCGCGTGGGAGAGCTGCGTTAAGTTCTTGTCTCCCAGGCTGGCTCTGCCAAAGCCCAGCCACTGTGGGAACTTGAGGAGTTAGCAAGTAGGTGACAGCTCACTTTTTCTCTTTTCATGTCTCTTGAATAATAAATAAGAACAATAATAATAATAATAAATGAATTTACTGGGGTGCAAAAACTTGAAAACTATGCATAATTTTTTTCTAAAACATATTTCCCATAAACTAAAAGCCCCCCTATACATGAAAAGGTTCTACACCCAAATAAACTTTACTTTTTAATTTCATTTCCATGAGCTTTTTCAAAAATATTTATTTTATTTATTTAAAAGGCAAAGTGACAAAGAGGGAGGAAGCGAAGGAGGTATAGGCAGAAAGAGACACAGAGGAAGAGACATTTTCTATCCCCAAACGGCTGCAACGGCTGAAGCCAGGAGCCTGGAACTCCATCCAGGCCTCTCTTGTGGTGGCAGGCACTCAGGTACTTGGGGCATCTTGTACTGCTTTCCCACACACATTGGCAGGGAGTGTGATGGGAAGCGGAGCAGTGGGACTTGAACAGGAGCTCTGCCATGGGATGCTGGCACTGCAGGCAGTGGCTTAACCCGCCATGCCACCATGCCGGCCCCTCTTTTAGAAGTGCCTTTGTATCCATCCAAAAGATATAATTATCCAGCTCTTTATCTCAAAATTGTGCATAAAGAGGACGAGGTTGTTTTCCATGCACAGTCAACCCACCAAGCAGTAGATTTAAGTTCACCCAGATGAATGTGGAAACTACTAGAATGCTTCTTCTTCTTCCCCTTTCTCCCTTAAGATTTATTTATTTGAAAGACAGGGTTACAGAGAGAGAGAGAGACAGAGATTTTCCATGCACTGGTTCATTCCCCAGATGGCTACAATGGCCAGGCTGGGCCAGGCCAAAGCCAGGAGCCAGGAGTTTCACCCAGGTCTCACATGTGGGTGCAGGGGCTCAAGAACTCTGCCTTCCCAGGAGCATTAGCAGGGAGCCGAATCAGAAGTGGAGCAGCCGGGACTCGAACCGGCACCCATTTGGGATGCTGGTGTCACAGACAGCGGTCCAAACCCCTACACTGGCTGCCAGGATAGCTTCTTGATGAGGGCAAACAAGCCTAAGGAAGTGCTTCAGTCAAGTCAGACGCCCGGAGCACAGTCGCTGTGGGATGCCCACATCCCGTAGGCAGAGTCTCCCAGGGGGCCAGGGCTGCCACCAGAGAGAGCAGAAGCCAGCTCCAAGTCGGACACACCCGGGTATCAACGGCCACTCCCTGCCCTGCCCCACCACATCCCAACCCCCAGAACGTAGCATTTCCCCCACCCCAGCGCCACGCCGCTTCCCTTTCTCTGGCATCACAGGGGTCAGCTCAAAATAGTGATGAACCTGATTGAAATTCTGTCCAAGCGCTCCTTGCAACATATTTAAGGCATCCAATTTAAGTCAGGAGGCCCACAGCTGTCAATTTGAATTATAAGCAGGACTTCAGTGTCCTGGATATCGGCTTCAGGACAGCGGCAGGCAGGTGCAGACCTCAGAAGTTTACTTCCTGCAGGCCCTCCTACGTCCCTTCCCTCAACCTCCCACCCCCAGCTTCCTCCGACGGGCCCACCTGCATGCAGCAGCAAGATGGCGGCTGTCTAGGAGAAGCCGTGGGTGGGTGGTGGGGGGGACGGGAGGGGGTGTATTTCTACCAGAGCTTTTGGCCCAGAGAACATTCTGGATAAACTCAGCAGCAGGCATGCCTTGCTTGCAGCAGCTAAGGAAGAGCCTGGCCTGACTCGGTGTCACTCCAAGTGATGGCCCGAATCTGTTCCCCTTTTATCTTTCTATCTCGGATATGTGTGGCCCAATAAAAAAAGAATACATTTGTAAGATAAACAGCTTTCTCTGCAGATTTAAGAGGCTAATTTTCACTTTACACAGAAACGGGGTTTTTTTTGGGAGGGCCAGAAGGCCCGTGGCGTTTACTCTGAGACTAATCCTTCTAGAAAAACAAACTCAGAGCCACAATGAAGGGGATGCTGGGTGGTCCCAGGAAGTGTCCAGGGAGGCCGAGAGCCAAGCACAGGGAGGGCCGAGGCGCTCTGGCCCCAGCCGCTCCTCCACGAGGCCCTGTGGGTGGGTGCGTGCTTGCGCCTGACGGGCGGGCGTTGTTGCACCAAGAACCCAGCATTCTCATGGGGGCTGGGGAGGGGAGGGGCACCTCGGCTGTCAGCTGCCTTGTCTACGCAGAGAGAGCAGCCTCGCTTCGTCCCGCTGGGAGAGACTCTGCAGGAGCCAGCCCAACGCTTGGCCTGGTGCCCCAGAGTCGCCCAGGGCAGGGCAGTCGGTGGCCCTGGTGACAGACGGGCGGGTCCTACCCTGGGCGGTCCAGGAAGCAGACGGTAGAAAGCAAGGAGCAGGACAAAAAGTGCATCTTTGTCAGACCACCATTTGT